GATCCAAAGGCTGCAAGCGATGGGATGTGAATGGTAATGGTAAATGGACTGTACTTATATAGCGCCTTTCTATCTGATCAAGACACTCAAAGCTCTTTACACTACAATCTGTGCCCTCATTTACCCACTCATACAGCACTCTACTAGATTGCTACAAAGCTAATTGAACAAATAATTCTAATTTCAAATCATTCCAGAGCTTTAGTTCACATTCATACACCAATGGGACAAACATTGGAGACAATGAGAGTTTACAGTTTAGTTAGAAAAGTTAATTATTTAGCACAATCATTTGCATGATTTTATAGGCTGGGAAACCACCAACACGTACCTTTTTTTTTTTTTTTCATTTACCCTTTATTTATCCAGGTTAGTCTCATTGAGCCACGAGAACTCATTTTCAAGAGAGACCTGTTTAGGGAGCACATGGTGGGGTTAAGGGCCTTGCTCATGGGCCCAGAGTGGGGCGAATGAGGGTGGGGGCAAGTGTGGGTGTTTCACCTACCCCACCCACAATTTTGACGTTGTCGGGGCCGGGGCGTGAACCGGCGATCTTCGGATCACAAGCCCACCTCTCTAACCTCTGCGCCACCACTCCCCCACTCCATACCACAACACTATGTTAAAATAAAGTAACCTTGATGTAACATTCATTATACATGAAAATCCAAATTTTACTTAGGCAAGGAATTTTTTTTTTGTGGATAAAAATCTTACCATTGTTCCCATGTGCACCTGCCTTTCATAGTCTGTTAGCAATAATGGCTGCCATGTGCAGGTGAGGTCACATGACCAAAGACAAGTATATTTTGCAAAAATATAGGGAGTGGGTCATCTTTCCCACAGGCTCATCTTACCCCACTCTCCCTATGTTCAAGTAGATTTTAGTGATTAAAAGAACAACAGCAAAAGCCATATATTCTACCAGATATATAAAAAGATGGAAAACACTTCCCGTTTAGTGAGTTTCTGTACTGTGAAAGTAAAAATAAAGTGACATAATGGGAACGTGACTCTGTAGTGTATTCAAAGTTAGTGTTTTCCAGGTTGCAACAATATATTATCCAAGCTGAAGAACCAGCTCTATTGGCATGGTTTGCTGCTGATTTTTTAATAGATCCCCTAAAAAATAAATGCCTTTCAGTTTCACATAGAAAAATCTGGGACCAAAATTCTTAGAAGAAAATCAAGTTTATTCACAAATGTTGTGAATGTAAGTCGATGTTACCTGAAACATTTCTTCAGTCTACCTCACTGCTCTCCAGGGGCCTCATGTACAAATGGTTTGTACGCACAAAAATGTGGCGTACGCCTGTTTTCACTTAAAACTTCAGACGTATCAAGAATGAAATTGGCATGGGAAGTGCACAGCCCCACGCTAACTTCATGGCTGGGCATGGCAATTACATTAAATTAGCGGACAGGTGCTATAGCATGCTTCTATGTTCTCTGGTCCGTTGGCGACACATAGAGGTGATGCTGGGAAACTATTTATGTGAAAACTATTATTATACACATTGGACATGCATGATGAACAATTAATACATCCACATGTATGAAATTAGAGGAGTGGATATAAAAGCTGCACAGAGCAGTGCAGAAAATCTCTTTAACAACAACAACAGCTTTAGCCTTATTTGAAGATATAGCAAATGGTGCAATACTCAGAGAGCGTGTGTTTAGAGACAGGATTTTCTGAACTATGATGACGACTGACTCATCAGACATTTTAGTCTTCCAAGGACAATCCTTTTGGAACTGTACTTGGAGCTGTGGCCAGTCTTGGAGCGAGACACAGCCAGGAGTCGTGCGCTGCTCATGCACATACAGCTGATGGCCACACTGGTGTTCCTATCAACAGGGTAATTCCAGAGGGAACTGGAAGACCCATCAGGACTATGCCAGTGGACTGGGATCCACCGAGTCATGCCAGCTGTGTGGGATGGAATGATCCGTATGTCAACCAGGAATATCAAATTACCCACAATGCAGCTGATTAGGCCAACATTAAAGAGCAGTTTGCAAAAATGGACGGATTTCCTGATGTAGTCAGAGTTATGGCCTGCACATACATTACTATAAAAGCACCATCACAGGACGAAGATATTTATGTTATCAGGAGGAATTTTCTTTTAATCAATGTAATAAATTAATTAAATAAATCAATGTGTAGATTACACATGATTCACAAATCAACTGACCAACATGGTGGCAAGGTGGCCTCATGTCCACAGCCTAGGACCATGAGGTGCTTTAACACCATTCATTCTAATGGACAGCATGGTTGGAACAGACTACAAGATGGCACAGTGCAGGATGGGGGGCTTCTTGGTGACTAAATTTATTTAATTGTCTATTAACCCCCCCGATGCACAAGCCTGTGCACCCCCACATTGTGTTCACCGTATCATTACTAGTCAGTGGTCCAAGTGAGTGACTTCCTGTTTTGTGCTGGTTAAACTACACTTTCAGAACGTTCTACTCCTGATTGTCTCTGTGTTTATAGAAGTTGTATCAATAAACACACGCGTAAAGTGTGAAACGCCTCAGCCTTTCTCCGGCGCTTTGCTACTTCCATTTACAATAACAGTGTAGTCCATGTTAGTGGGGATGGGCTCTGCTTCACATCCACCTTGAATTCAGACCATTTTGTCTTAATTTCTGTGGGATTGACTGCTCTGACCCCACAGCATTTCCAGCTCACACATTGTCCCACTCACTCCTCTTGTGCTTGGCGCTAGTGCCAGAGGACAGTGTGCCAAACAGAATGTTTTTACGTCTCCAACTAACATTCTGAAGTTCATCTTTTTTCCACATGTATACAGGCTTCACGATAGTACAGTGAGGAGTTTCCTCAGGTGCAGGGCATATTTAAGTTCAAGTTCAAGAATCTTTATTGACATTCACTTCACATGTGGGACGTGAGGTGGAACGAAATTGTGTACTCAAGGTCCCAGTTAAACCCAAAAATAGCAAAAATTTAAAGTATAAAAAGAAACAGTATATAAGGATCTAAGATACGTATACGCTAAACGATACTCCAAAAGATCCAAGATATGCGCTAGACACTAATAATGTAATATAATATGGTATATTAAACAGCAGCACAAACATGAGTCTGTAGTGAGTGAGTTAAATCTATTTACATGAATTTTCATAAACGCGTCATAACTTCAATTTTATATCAATGACTGTCAAATTTACTTCCCTCTGAAGCACACCGGTGTACGTTCTATACAATCTCTTCTTGACTGCCTGGTTGACATCAGGGACTGGATGGCTTTAAATTTCTTAAATTTTAATGAGAAGAAGACCGAAGTCATGTTGTTTCCATCTAATGGCATAATCAAGAACCACTGTATCGTCATTTCCTCTCTAGCCCTGTTAGAAAGAAATTGTCACTAATCTGGGAGTGAAAATGGACTTTTCCATGAAGATGATGGTTGGATAGATGGATGGATGGATTAATGGATGGATGGATGATGGATGGATGGATATTTTATAGATCCCATGTCACACAGTGACAACAGAACCAACACATCTCAGATGTTTGTCTCATTTACTACCTGAGCTCTTTGAAGTGTTTGTAAAAGTTTTGTGTAAGAGTTATGACGTACAGTCACAACAGTCTTTTAATTTTAGGATTTTACCAATGATAACTTAATAAAAATGATTTTTTTTTTGAGCTCTTCAAAAACTGGCAACAGATTTGACCATGTCATCATTTATTAAAAACTGGTCAAAATGGGAAAGCTTGTTTGGAAATTCTGCTACATTCTTTTAAAATATGGCAGCACAGCTTACTGTAGATTTATCAACGTTTCTTTGAAAGAGCCTTAAAACTTATACAACAATAGTCTCATGTGTATAAAGGACAAAATAGAGATATTTACCCATAATGCACAGTGGCATGTCTGGAGAAAACCAGACCCAGCACATGAGCAGTAACTTACACCTTTCTCAAACTGTCCTGCGCGGTGGTGGAGTGATGGTGATGTGGGCTTGTTTTGCAGCCACCTGGGCACTTTGCAGTCATTGATTTAACCAGGAAGTCTTTTGTGAGTCAAAGTTCTCTGGAGTCAAATGGTGTGAGTGACTTTGAAGACCAGATCATTGTTATGTGCTGTCTGTAAAATACAAGAACTAAAAGTGAGTGGACTATTTGCCTCCTGACTGTATCACTGAGCGCACATATTTTTCATCCTTGATGTGATTTTTGCACTTGTTTTCTATTTTACAACAGTTAACCATCACTTTAACCATAAATAGTTTAAAACGACCAGTGTACTGTACCTGCTCAGCAGCAAACACAGCTAAAGAAAGGTTGAACCAAGATTTAATTTCCAAACTCATGAACCCAGGATGTTCAGTTAGTAAGATGATATGCTTCATCACAATTTCATTAAGACTGATGATCAGAAACTGATGTGTAACAGAAACAGATGAGCTTTATGCACAGTTTACACAGAAAGAAATGAGTTGACAACAAATTCAAACATTTCTCCTAAAATCAGTCCTGTGTTCTTCTGCTCTGTGCCTGAAGTGAAGTCAGTGAGTTTGGCCTTTGATCTGCAGCCAGTTAATGTTCATATGTGAGATGACAGTAATGCAAAGAAAGAAGGCTGCAGGTCTTATTTTGACAGCATTGCTGTTTGAAACGAGCACTTGGCACTTAGTTCATCTTTTAGTGGCCAAAGGCAGCTGACGAGGGGAGTCAAGCTGCTCTCTGTTTTATCTGCCATGAATTTAATCTACAAAGCTTCTATAAAAGCTGTTCTCCAAATCTCTGGTTGGCAGCAGAAGGACATTGTTCTGTTTCCTGTTCACCAGTTTTTGACTGAAGCTTCTGATGAGGGTCTGGCTGGTTTTTGCTGGCTGCGGTGAAGTTTAGCTTGAGCAGCAACTTTACTGTCCGCTAACTGGAATATGTCTGTGTTTATGATCATTATGGATCAAACTGGGAGAGGATTGTAATCTCCGGCCTCGTCCCCGTCTCCTAGGTGATCTGGGTGTGCAATAATTGCCGGAAGCAGCAGGATATTCTGACCAAACCAGGCGACTGGTTCACTGGTCCTTCTGGGAAGTCTTCCGACCTTGGTTCTGCTGTCAGTGAGCCATCCGTGTGCCAAGCGTCCGTGGATAAGAAGTTGAGATCTCGCTCCCAAGCACCCACAGGCTCTGCTGGTACCATCCAAGACCCAGGGCGGCCAGGGGCCACAGCTGGAACAGATGCTCGCTCTCTTAGTGAGCCACCACGAGACGCGTAAGATGAAAAGACAAACACAGCTCTCAAAAGAACATTTTAGTTTTTACTTCAGGAAGGTCATAAACCATGACGTTGGTTTTATTTAAACTGTGTTTTTCTGTCATTTAGAATATTTTAATAAATAAATAAATAAATAAATAAATAAATAAAACACAATGGATTTTGTGGGGGGGTGGGGGGGGGTGTTCTTTTATGCTGTGCTAAGGACATTTAGCTGTGGCAGCCATCTTTAATTGAGTTGGCTCCAAAAGCGCATCAGATTTAAATATACAGTCATTGCTTTCTGTGAATCAGAATGGGTTTCTAAGATATTTTGCTAACCAACAGTTAAACAGACACAGACATGGGCAAGAACCTTATTGTTTGCCTTTTTGTCAATGGTGAGTATAAGAGAGAATAAAGCAGGAACAACAAAACAGCTAAATAATAATTTAACATTACATTAAATCATTACACAGCGATAAGTACAAGCCAAAAAATTCCAGTGATAAGAGCAGTAGCTGCATATAGTCCAGTCCTAAAACTAGAGAAAGCTCCTTTGATAACGTCAGATGAGACTTGAAAGACAAATCCTGGCCAAAAATTCCTCCATAGTTTATTTAAAGTTGAACTTCAGCCATTTCTCATACAAGTCTGAAGCTTCAGTACCGATATGTTTATTGAGGATTTGAGGGTAAAACAGCAAAGTCTCATCTGCAAAACAAGGAAGTTGTATGTTTTTAAGGATGCTGTCAAGGGGAAGTGAGCATGTGCAGTGAAAACAGGACAGGTCTCAGCACAGAATCCTGTGGAACACCATTACTAATTCTGGAGGGCATGGATGACACATTGTGAGCATAAACCAACTGGAATCTGATGAATAGATAAACCCAATCACATTTTCCAGTTTGTGTATAAGGATATATTGATCAGTGATATTCAGTATCCCACTGAGACCTAAGTACAGAGATGAGACCATTAAAATGAAGGGGTCATTGTATATTAACATCATCTGCATAATGTTTCACACATTTCTCAAAAACAATGTAAACTCTTCAAATTCAGGGTCAACAAATAAAGGACTTACAAAGCTCCTTGAGAACCAAAAAGAGGTTTTCAAAGGAAGTCGTGGATCAGTCCTGGCAGTCTTGTAACGTTTGTTGAGTACTAATGAGAGTTGAGTGCATTGTTCTAAAATCCTAACATGTCATACTAGGATTTTAAAGCTCATAACTGTCCTAAAATATATTTTATTTGCCTTGGTATTGGACAGAATTACAGCTTAATTCTGTCTAAGCAAATGATAGTGAGTTACCTTGTGAAACTGGGACGATGATCAACATAAATATCAATCATGTTATTGTGAACACATAAAATCTTCATCTTCAGAACAAATGCTGATGTTTCTTCTTCTCCCACATGTTGATGGCCCCTCAGGAGGAATGGGCGGGGAAGTGGAGGAGCGGGTCGAGGTGAGCGGCGGCCTGGTCAGCACAGGCTGCAGACCCAAGTCTCCATGGATCGAGACCTTCGGGGGGAGTCCAGGGAGCGCAGGGAGGGCCGGCAGCTGTCAAAGGTTCGGTCTCTGGAGCACGATCCTGTGGGAGGAGGTGGAGGTATGAAACGAACAGAGGAGGGGGGTTACCATCACGTGGACCACAGTGGGGCACCCCCTCGACAAGCAGGGTCATTACCCCCTGCAGGCGGTGGCCTCTCTGTGCATGCTCAGGGTCGTAGCACAGGGGCAGGGCAAGTCGGGAATGCTGCTGCACCTGGACAGAGGACGGTGGGTGGGGTTGGTGGGCCACGTGAAAAAGCTGTTTCCCAGCAAGCCCCACCCCCTGAACTCAGAGAGCCTCCGGGTTCAGGGCCCAGCTCAGGTGCGGGTCAGGGACCCGGAGTCAAACGGACCAAGAGGGACAAGGCTGAGAGCATGCTGCGGAACGATTCGCTGAGTTCCGACCAATCCGAATCTCTGCGGCCACCTCCGCCTCGACCCTACAAGTCAAAACGAGGGCCGGGGGCAGGAGGGAAGAGACAAACCAGCATGAGCAGCTCAGAGGAGGAGGGGGGCACAACGCCAGAGTACAGCAGCTGTGAGGATGCAGAGATCGAAAGCGTCAGCGAGAGAGGTAAGAAAAAATCCAGTTCATGATGGACATTTATAGATCAGGGTGGTGAGGAAAGTTCACTTTATCACAACTTTATCACAACTGTAGCAAGTGTCCAACTTTAGGTGATGTAGAGAAGATGCTACAGCTCAACGTGTGTTTGTAACTCCAGACTATCATCATGAGTGATGTTAAACACAAAGAGTTTTAGTTTGAGTCTCCTCCTTCATCCTCAGTCACTTCCTGCTGCTGTTTAGTCACTTCCTACTGATGTTCAGTCACTTCCTGCTGATGTTCAGTCACTTCCTGTTGATGTTCAGTCACTTTCTGCTGATGTTCAGTCACTTTCTACTGATGTTCAGTCACTTCCTACTGATGTTCAGTCACTTCCTGCTGATGTTCAGTCACTTCCTGCTGATATTCAGTTGCTTCCTGTTGAT